TTTTAGTAGTTTTGAGGTAGATTCTTTAATTTAGGGTTTTTTATGTATAATATCATGTCATCTGCAAACAGTGACAGTTTAACTTCTTCCTTACCAATTTAGATGCCTTTTATTTCTTTGTGTCGTCTGATTGCCATGGCTAGGACCTCCAGTACTATGTTGAATAAAAGTTGGGAGAGTGGACATGCTTGTCTTGTTCCTGATACTAAAGGAAAAGCTTTCAACTTTTCACTGTTAAGTATGATATTGGCCGTGGGTTTGTTGTAAATGGCCTCTATTGTGTGGAGGTACTTGCCCTCTATACCCATTTTGTTGAGAGTTTTTATCATGAATGAATGTTAAATATTGTCAAATGCTTTTTCAGCATCTATAGAGATTATCATGTGATTTTCGTCCTTCTTTAATTTGATGCGATGTATGATGTTGATGGATATTCGAATTTTTACCATCCTTGCCTCCCAGGAGTAAATCCCACTTGGTCAGGATGAATGATCTTTTTTATGTATTTTTTAGTTCAGTTTGCTAATATTTCGTTGAGTATTTTTTCATCTCTGTTCATCAGGGATATTGGTCTGTAATTTTCTTTTTTTTTCTGGTGTCTTTGCCTGGTTTTGGTATTAGAGTGAAGTTTAGAAGTATTCCCTCTTCTACTTTTTGGAAAACTTTAAGGAGTATTATGTCTTCTCTGAATGTTTGATAAAATACAGCAGTAAAGCCATCTGGTCCATGAGTTTTGTTCTTAGGTAGTTTTTTGATTACCATTTCAATTTCATTGCTGGTAATTTATCTGTTGAGATTCTCCTGTTTCTTCCTGGGTCAGCCTTGGAAGGTTGTATTTTTCTAGAAAGTTGTCCATTTCTTCTAGGTTATCCAGTTTGTTAGCATATAATTTTTCATAGTATTGTCTAATAATTCTTTATGTTTCTGTGGTGTCCGTAGTGATTTTTCCTTTCTCATTTCTGATTCTGTTTATCTGTGTAGACTCTTTTTTTCTTGATAAGTCTACCTAGGGTTTTATCTATTTTGTTTATTTTTTCAAAGAACCAGCTCTTGGTTTCATTGATTTTTTTCTTTTGTTTTATTCTTCTCAATTGTATTTATTTCTGCACTGATGTTTATTATGTCCCTTCTACTTTGGGCCTCATTTGTTCTTTTTCTAGTTTTGTTAATTGTGACTGTCTAATTGTTAATTAGACTGTTCTTTTGGGATTTTTTTTCTTTCTTGAGGTAATCCTGTATTGCAATATACTTCCCTTTTTGATCTGCGTTCACTGCATCCCACAGGTTTGGGGCTGTTGAGTTGTTTTTATTTGTCCCCATATATTGCTTGATCTTGCTTTAATTTGGTCTCTGATCCACTGATTGTTTAGGAGCATGTTGTTAAGGCTCCCTGTGTTTGTGCTGTTTTTTCTTTTCTTTGTAGAATTCATTTCTAGTTTGATACCTTTGTGGTCTAAGAAGCTGGTTGGCACAATTTCAGTGTTTCTGAATTTACTGAGACTCATTTTGTGGACTAGTATCTGATGTATTCTGGAGAACATTTAATGTACACTTGAGAATAATTTGTGTTCCGCAGCTTTTCGGTGGAGTGTTCCGTAGCTGTCTGTTAACAGCAATGAACAACACAGTAGAACCGATGGATCTGTCTCCTTACTTATTTTCTGTCCAGTTGATCTGTCTTTTGGCGTGAGTGGTGTGTTGAACTCTCCTAGAATGAATGTGTTGCATTCTATTTCCCCCTTGAATTCTGTTAGTATGTGTTGTACGTATTTGGGTGCACCTATATTGGGTGAATAGATACTTATAATGGTTGTATCCTCTTGTTGGACTGACCCCTTTATCATTATGTGTTGTCGTTCTTTGTCTCTTGCAGCTTTCTTTGTTTTGAAATCAATTTTGTCAGATACAAGTACTGCAACTCCTGTTTTTTTCCTCCGTTATTTGCATGAAATATGTGTTCCATCCCTTCACTTTTAGTTTGTGTCTATCTTTGGGGTTGAAGTGAGTCTCTTGTAGGCAGCATATAGAAAGGTCTTGTTTTTTTATCCATTCTGTATGTCTTTTGGTTGGTGCATTCGGTCCATTTACATCTAGGGTGATTATTGATAGGTATGTACTTATTGCTGTTGCAGGCTTTAGATTCATGGTTACGAAAGGTTCAAGGTCAGCTTCTTTACTGTCTAACAGTCTAATTTAACTCATTTATTATGCTATTACAAACAGAATCTAAAGGTCATTTTTTTTTGGTCCCTTCTTTTTCTTCCTCTCCCACTCTTTATATGTTAGATATCATTCTATACTCTTTGTGTATCCATTGAGTGAGTTTTTCGGTAGCTGATTTAATTTTGTATTTGCTTAGTAATTAATTGGTCTACCTCTTTTACTGTGGTTTCAGTTTCCCTCGTGACAGCTACTTTGCCTTAGGAGCACTTCCATCTGCAGCAGTCTCTTTAAAATACTTTGTAGAGTTGGTTTCTAAGGGGTAAGTTCTCTCAACTTTTGCTTATTTGGAAATTGTTTAATCCCTGCTTCAAATTAAATCATGATCTTGCATTTTAATATATGTCTTGGTGTTGTCTCCCTAGGGTTCCTTGTGTTGGGAGATTTGTCCACTTTCATGACATGAGACACTATTTTCTTTCCCAGACTGGGGGATTTTTCAGCAATTATTTCCTCAAAGAGACTTTCTATCCCTTATTCTCTCTCTTCTTCTACTGGTAACCCTATACTGCGAATATTTTTCTGCTTGGGTTGGCCATACAGTTCTCTCAGTATTCTTTGATTCCTAGAAATCCTTTCCTCTCTGTGCCTCAGCTTCTTTGTGTTCCTTTTCTCTAATTTCTATTTCATTTACCATCTCCTCTACCTTACCTAATCTACTTTTAAATCCCTCCATTGTATGTTTCATTTCATATACTGTATATTTCAAAGTTTCTGTCTCTTTCTTGATGTCTTCCCTGAGATCTTGAATATTTTTTTTGTATCTCTATGAGCATGCTTTTTATTTTTATTTTGAAATCTTTATCAAAAGATTGGAGATTTCAGTTTCATTTAGCCCTCTTTCTGGCTTCTTCTGATTCTTTCTTTGTACAAAATTTTTTTGCCATTTCATTTTTCTAGTGCCCAGAAGCTCTACTCTCTGGAGCTGCCCTGCACCTACAGTGAAGGTGAGAGTCACAGGCAAGTGGTACCTGTGCCTGCCGGGAGGGAAGAGCACTTTTCTGCTTCCTGGCTGCAGTGCCTGCCCCCACTACCAGGGCCACTGGACCAAGCATGCTGGTAGGAGCTTCTGTGTTACGCACCTGTATCTGCTATAGGTAGAGCTACCTTCTGGGTGGCCTGGCCTGTTAGATGGGGTAGCAGCTGTGCGAATCGGTGTCTGCCTGGAGGAAGGAGCGGCTGGCTGCATACCGCAGTTCGGGGGCCTTGGGACTGCATTGCCAGCCAGGGGGATGGAGCATCTGAAGCTCCTGAAAGTTTCCAACATGCTGGGCGGAGTGTGCCGGGATGATTTTGTCCACCTGTCCTTTTCAGCAAGTTCTGTGTATCCTTTGCCCCTTTAGCGCCCCTCTCACTGTTGGGAAGTCATTCAAAATTCCCGCTCTTCTTTTGTCCTGGAGCTGCCGTTTGTGCACACCTATTCTTCACAAGTGGCTGGAATCTCAGTCTCTCTGAGAACTCTGCCTGTATTTGCTTTCCAACCACCCTAATCTCCAGAGCACCATGTAGCGGGTTCATGCTCCCAGAGCAGGTCTCCAGGGCTGGGTGTTTAGCAGTCATGGGCTTCTACTCCCTCCCTGCTCCGTTTTCTTCCTCCTGCCTGTGAGCTGGGATGGGGAAAGGGCTTGGGTCCCTCTGGATCATGGCTTTGGTACTTTACCCTTTTCTGTGAGATTTTCTCTTTTCCCCAGATGTAAGCAGTCTGTTCTGCCATCTTTGTGTCACTCTGTCAGGATTAGTTGTTTTTGCTGTATTTTCGTCTTAAATTGCATTTTCAGAGTAGGTTACTGCCTCATTTTTCTCACTGCCATCTTTAAACCTTTTCAAAGCCAATATCTTTTTTTTTTAATTTTTTTATTTTGATATCATTAATCTACAATTACATGAGGAACATTATGTTTACTAGACACTCCCTATCACCAAGTTCCCCCCACATACCCCATTACAGGTGTAGTAAGATGTTGTAGAATGACTACTTGTCTTCTCTGTGTTGCACAGCACTCCCCATGCCCCGCCACCCCACGCATCATACATGCTAAACATAATGCCCCCTTTCTTCCCCCGCCCTTATCCCTTCTTTCCCACCCATCCTCCCCTGTCCCTTTCCCTTTGGTAACTGTTAGTCCATTCTTGGGTTCTGTGAGTCTGCTGCTGTTGCGCTCCTTCAGCTTTTTCTTTGTTCTTATACTCCACCGATGAGTGAAATAATTTGATACTTGTCTTTCTCCGCCTGGGTTATTTCACTAAGAATAATACCCTCTGGCTCCATCCATGTTCTTGCAAATGGTAGGATTTGTTTTCTTCTTATGGCTGAATAATATTCCATTGTGTATATGTACCACATCTTCTTTGTCCATTTATCTACTGATGGACACTTAGGTTGCTTCCATTTCTTGGCTATTGTACATAGAGCTGCGATAAACAGGGGTGCATATGTCTTTTTCAAACTGTGCTGCTGCATTCTTAGGGTAAATTCCTAGGAGTGGAATTCCTGGCTCAAATGATATTTCTATTTTGTGTTTTTTGAGGAACCTCCATACTGCTTTCCACAATGGTTGAACTAATTTACATTTTCACCAGCAGTGTAGGAGGGGTTCCCCTTTCTCCACATCCTCGCCAACATTTGTTGTTTGTCTTTTGGATGGTGGCAATCCTTACTGGTGTGAGGTGATATCTCATTGTGGTTTTAATTTGCGTTTCTCTAATGACTAGCGATGTGGAGCATCTTTTCATGTGTCTGTTGGCCATTTGAATTTCTTCTTTGGAGAACTGTCTGTTCAGCTCCTCTACCCATTTTTTGATTGGATTATTTGCAAAGCCAATATCATTTTGTTGAATATTAGTCCCCTGTTTTGCAGTTTTTTTCACTTAAGCCATACTAAATTTAATACCTACTTTTTTTCCAATTTGTGTTTCTTTTTAGTGGCATGCAAAGTTAGACACTGTTGGAGCAATCTTGAGTGTAGGATTCTTTTATGTTTTTACTTTCCTCACTCTCCCCAGTTTTCTGTAGTTATTTCTACCTCCCACTAGTGATTTATTGTTTTAAACAACTGGCTTTCATCTAATGTGTCAAGTTTACTTTTAGTAACAAAGTGTTACTAAATAGTAACTCATATTTCCTTGGGTTACATACTGTTTAATTAAGGTATATAGCTAAAATAACATGTTTAAGTAGCATAAACAGATCTGTGATTGAATTGAGCTTATGCTTAGTAAAGACGTGGTTCAGCTGAGAGCACACGTGTGGATGTACTCAGTGCTTTAGGTACTCCCAGTGCTTTAGGGCATTTGGAAGACCATAAGCATGTTTCCTGAATATGCATGAACATGTTTCTATTCTGTTTTCCTCAGGATAAATTATTTTGAAATTTCTTTATCATCCTACCCACATTTCTTCTCCCCTTAGACCAGTGATCTTCCTAATTTAGAATGGGATAGGAGTAAACCATGTTTGGCTGTCTTCCTGGTAAAGTTCAGGTGTCTATTCTTGTCCAAAGAAAAAAATGAAATAATTGGGGGAAAAAATAGGTAGCAAATATAAGTGGTCACTTAATTATAAGAATGTTCTAAGCATAAAATAATGGCAGAGTGTAGCAATTTCTTTCTCCTTGAGTGTGATCTGGACTTAAGGACTCAATTCCAATGGATCGAGTATGCTAAGAGGGATATAATAGTTTTGTTAGTGGAGAAACTTAGCAGATACCACCTACCAATTGGTCAAGGTTTCTATCACCCGTGTTAGTAGAGTTAATCACATTCATAGCGTATCCCCTCAGTTATGATGTGATGAGGAGAGCCCTTCACTTCTTAGGGTCTTCTTCTCCCAATCCCATAACCACAGTGTAATCTTCAGAAAATATCAGGCAAACTTAAGTTGAGGGATATTCTGACCAGTGCTCTTCAAAAATCTCAAGGTCATGAAAAATAAGGAAAGACTGAGAAACTGACAGAGACCAGAGGACACTAGGGAAGCACGACTCAGTGCAGTGTGTTATCATGAATTGGGTCTTGGAATAGAAAAAGAGGCATGAGTGAAAAACTAGGGAAATCCAGATAAAGTCTCTCGTTTTGACAAATCTTCCACAGTTGTGTAAGATGTTAGCATTAGGGAAACTGGGTGAAGTGTATGTGAGAGCTAGGTAGTATTTTTGTAACTTTTCTGTAAATCTAAAATTACTTCCAAATAAAATGTTTATTAAAAATAGTAATGTGAGAAATCACTGAAGAAAGGATTAGGTGATTTGAAATTCAAGACATGTAAACCAAATTAAAAGGCAGTAACACTGAGAAAATATTTATTGAAGATGGTAGACAAGGACAAATGATGTAGAATATACTTTTACAGAATAATAAGAAAATACTAATATGTCACCTCATTGGAAAATAGTCATTGATCATGATTCACAAAAGAAGCACAGTGATTCATAAATATGAAAACCAGTTCAATCTCACCAGTAATTAAAAAATTGTTTATTAAAGTAGTAGTGAGAAAATTGTCACCCATTACATGGAAAAGTGATATTCAATTCTGAAGAAGGTAAATGGAAGAATTATAGATTGGTTTAACCCTTCCAGAAAGCAGGTTGCCAATACGGGTGTTGGGTTTAAAAATACACATATCATTTGTGCTTGTAATTTCACACAAAATTTTTTTCCCAAGGAAATAGATATGTTCACAAGTTTTCTAGTAGGAGCATTCATCTCTGGGTTCCTAATAATGAAAGACTCAAAACCCAAATACCTAACCAGTGAGGGAGTGATCTGAAAAGTTTTGGCCTACTTACAGAATAGAATGGAGTTGTTGAATGAAATGTTGAGAGCAAGAGGCAGTTCGTGTATATCCTCTGATCCAGACTTCTGAGCATGTGTACAACTGTGTTTCTTGAAAGGATAGGATACTGAGGAAATACATTTGCAAAGTAGTTACTGTCCTAGTAAGGAAAGAAGGATTTTTGTTTTCTTTATATCTCTCTTCATTTTCAGAACTGTGTGTACTAAGTGTATATTACTTTAGTAATCTGGGGGAAAACTAATATGCAAGTAATGCAGTTGAACAGTTTCATTTCTTCATTCTGATTTAATTTTTTAAATGCTACATATCCATTTTTTTCTGTAAACAGTTGATGTTCCTGTTTCCACTAGGAAGCTCCTCCGGGTGCTCCCATTGCCGAGTGAGAACTGGGGAGCTCTAGTTGGAGAATGGTGTTGTCATCCTGACCCCTTTGCTAATAAGCCACTTCATCTGCAGGAGAATGACTTTTCTTGGAGACACTTTCTTCTTGGTGAGTTTAAGAAGTGACTTGTGGCATCCAAGACCTGAACTAGCCCCAGCAGAGATGCACTGTCTTTCTTCTGAGAACCATTTTAAAAACCGTTGCCAGAGAATTTTCATGTTAACATCTGATTTTTGGTAGTAACAAAAGTATTGTTTGTTAAATTTCATTTAAAACTCATTTAATTTTTGTAATGAGAGCTAAGCTACTTCAGGAAATCCACAGCAGTTGGGTAACTGTTTGGTTGTAAGTTAGTTTATATTATTATTTTCTATTTTGAGGAAGATTAATTAAGTTCATCAAATATTAACGTTATTATCAGAATTATTTAAGTGCCTTATTTCTCACCATAAACACAAATCCCTTTATCTAAGTATGGTTCATTTAAAGTAATATTACTTTAGCCTTATATATTTTTAAAGGATAAGTGGTAAAAAGTTAACATATTTAATATAGTTATATAGTAAAATCATATTTTAATCTATATATACTAATACTTTACTGTTTTGCGTGTTTTAACTTTCATTCTTACTAGAGAGTTATACATTTTAAAAATAGAAGGTATAAGTGGAAGAAGAGGGGAGAAAAATTAAAAAAGAACACTTATTTCCCTTTTTAGGCAAACTTTGCACTCTGGAAATACATTCTTCATATTTCTGTCTTTATCAGTTATGTGATGCCATTTACAAGAAGTTTTAATTGTGAACAATCGTCCAATGTGTTAAAGGAAGGCCCTTCATAATAAGACATTATGGTTTTTAATATCAAGGACAATATGGAAAATTACTGTTATGACAAGATGTTGTTGACAAGATTGTTTTCAAGTTAGCCTAGATGGAAGCTTCACTTTAATTGCATATTGCAGCAGGTGGAAAGAGTATGCCTGTGACCAAAATAGTAACATAAATTTGGAGGGACTGCTTAAACGGTGTTCTCAAGGCTCCTATGGGAACAAGACTGCTCTGTGCTGTTGAAAACCTATTTCTCCTGTCACCCAGTCCAGCCACCTAGCAGGGTTTGAATGTTACAAGGTGACACAGCATCCCAACGGTATCTCTTGGGAAACATTTTTTTGTCGAGACAATATCAAGGGTCCATAGAAATGCAAACAACACAAAGGAAAATAAAACCGAGGCCAGGAGGCTAATCCACCTCTCTGAGCAGCAGTGCCGTCTCTCAGATACATTGATTCAATAGACCACAGCAGTGTCTTTCTTTGATATTTGCTCCACAGAGTTCCCACATCAAGCTGCCTCACTGCACAGCTTGCTTTATTATTTCGTTCAAAGGTCAAGAGAAATGCATTAGAAAGCAGTTCCTCTTTAAACAAAATCAGAAGTGTTATATATTAATTTTTAAAATACCTGATCTTAGGAACAGTGTATACAAGCAGAAAGCCCGACTCTTACTTCTTTCCTTCAGTCCCCTAGAGTGTACCGTATGTTCTTTGTGCCTCTGTTAGGGTGCCAGTACATACCTGTTGCTTTTGAAAGATATCTACTGAAGATTTCCCTGTTGCATTTGCCAGTTATCTCTTGTGCTGTTTTTTTGTGCCTACCAACATTATAAAAATTGTTAATCTTATAATAGGATGATGATGGCACCTCAATCTTTTATAAGATTGATAATATTGTTCTAGACTTAGAAATGTAGCCATACTATGACTTCATCCTATTTTTTTAAGAACAAATGAAATTGAACTTTGATTATATTATACCTGGCAAGTATGACTATGTTTTTTTTCTTTCCTAGGGTACTTAGCAATAATTTTTATCTTAGTAATTTGTTTTGTTAAATTCTTAAGTATATCTTTTTTATTTTCTCAAAATAATGTGTTGAACTTTATAAATATTCACAAATATAAAAAATAGAATTATGAACTTCAGTATACCAACTATATTGATTCATAAAGTATGCTTTATCTGTCCCTTTTACTTTTATTTTTTTGCTGAAGTGCTTTAAAGCAAATCCCAGATACTATGTCAGTTCATCCCTATGTAGATTTTTCTTTTTTAAATAACCAGTGTCATTTTTATGCCTGGCAAATTTAACAATTTCTTGATGATAAAATATCAGGCCATTTACAGATTTTGCCAGTTGTTTTAGAAGTGGCTTCTACTGCCAGCTTGTTTGAATCAAAATTGACACATTTGGTTGTTGGAAGTAATTTGCTTTTATTGATCAGATTTTAAAATCCTTATTGCCCATGTCTTGAGAAGGTAGAATCTTACTTGAAAACCGAACCAACAAAAGCCACTTTTCCTGCTTCATTGAAAGACAAAGCAAAATGTACTGTAATACCTATTATAAATGAAATACATAACAGAGCACCTGATGAAAAACTTTCAGCTTCAAATAGAAAAATTCCTTCTCAAGCATTGCTACTCCAATACCCTATATTAGTTTTTGGTAAGATTTAATGAAGATGGTCTTATGTAACTTGTATAAAATGGGATCCTTTAAAAAGCGTCTTTAATACCAATTTAGAGCCATACAGATAGTTTTTATTGTAAGAAAGCATGAAGTGGCTAAAATGTCAAACATTGTAGTTGAACATCCCTGGTTTCTGAGCTGTCTTCCTAACCTTGCCTGGACCTAAAAAAATTGATACTTGTCATGGTTTCTCTGTGGTTTTTGATATTTTTTTTTTCTCTAATTAAAGTTAGAAATCTATTTTTTAATCAAGATCTGATAATACACACACAAACACACTTCAACTAAAAGTTTCTTGAAGCCGTACCCTGTAAATAGCATGGTGATATTTTCTATTCTATCGTATTTATTTATTCTTTTTTAAGTGTAGGCTATAACTCACTGAGTTGATTTTATGATTTGGTTGGAAAACATGGACATAGTGGTTAGAAGCACATTTTTAGCATCTAAGGGACCTGGATTCAAATACCACATCTGTCAGTTACTAGCAGCACCTCCATGGATCTCAGTTTAAATATGCTTCTCATGCAGGTTTCTGGAAATAAGTTATTTGTGCTAAGGGAAGTAGGATTATCCTCAAACTTATACCAGTATAATTAATGTAACTAATGAGTCACTCCTTAGATTGATACATACATCACCCCACGTCAATGTTTTTCCTCTCTTAGACTAGCACTGCTCTGCCGTTGCTAGGAGAGGTTACCTGAGCTGTCCAGAGATGCAGAACTTCTCCGTGTCCACTATTTTTTTTTTTGGTATCATTAATCTAGTCTTTATCCAGTAATACTGACAATAATGGCTCATTGCCAAAGGGTGTGTAAGCTTCAGCCTTGGCAGTAGGCCAATTACATCATCAGGTGGTTTAGGGTCAGGTGAGGATCCTGGCTGTAGCAACTTCCATTTTCCCTACAGGCACCCACCTGGGCAGTGTGCCAGGAGGGTTTGAGGGACAGCAGGAAAGCCGGTGTGAAGCCAGCAAAGGGGAGGATAATAGAAAAATGTCAGGATAATGGAAGCAGGGACACGGTCTGTTGTTGAAAACAAGACAACAGGCCCCAAATGGATCTGCTTATCTGAAACGGAGCCACGTATCACTGAACCAAGACTTAATCACAGTTTGGCTCTCAGAGCTGGAATCCTAGAGCTGTCACTCAGAAAACACCAGCTCTAGCTCAGGGACCTGCCTACAGAAGCTGGCCACCCCCCTACAGGAAAGTGACCGTGCAGTAACCAGTCCTTTTTTTGTTTTTCAGTGTGACTTCCTGGTT